AGACTATTTCCTGGAAAACTAGATGACCTTCACACACTCGCCATCAGCTACGTTGTACTGGAAATGAGATGCTTATAACAGTACATAGAGACTATTTCCTGGAAAACCAGATGACCTTCACACACTCACCATCAGCTACATTGTACCGGAAATGAGATGCTTATAACAGTACATAGAGACTATTTCCTGGAAAACTAGATGACCTTCACACACTCGCCATCAGCTACGTTGTACTGGAAATGAGATGCTTATAACAGTACATAGAGATTATTTCCTGGTAAACCAGATGACCTTCACACACTCACCATCAGCTACATTGTACCGGAAATGAGATGCTTATAACAGTACATAGAGAAATAGACTATTTCCTGGAAAACTAGATGACCTTCACCCACTCGCCATCAGCTACATTGTACCAGAAATGAGATGCTTATAACAGTACATAGAGACTATTTCCTGGAAAACTAGATGACCTTCACCCACTCGCCATCAGCTACGTTGTACTGGAAATGAGATGCTTACAACAGTACATAGAGAAATAGACTATTTCCTGGAAAACTAGATGACCTTCATGACATCACTAAACTCCCTTTATACATATCACTCAATCGATTACACCACCATTCCCAGTTTGTCTGTGGAGAAGAAAGGTCCAACTTTTGAAAGCACTCGGGTTATAAGAATGTTTTATTGTGCATGTTATTTGAATACAATAAACTTAAGAATACGTTCAGTAAAAAACAAAAAACTTCCTTTCTTTCACTTACCATACTCATTAAACCTGACTAAACTTTATAATGTCTTGTTATAGAAACCTTTTCTTGTAATATTTCAAACAGATGTAATTTAACATAAAATCATTATCAGAAGAACAGAACCCCAAAGTAAACTATTAAAAAACAACTATTTTATCTATTTTTTTGTTCTCAAGTTTTCAAAACTTTTGTGTTCCATCCTTTGTTCAGAAATTTCTACTAAAATTACTTTGTTTACTCTATAGTGAAATAGACAGATTGGCATTCCTCTAGCCAACAGTTTGTAGCCCTAAGCTCTTGCTATTTTCAAAAGCAAGCTTCACAAGGCATTGTTAGACTCCTTACTGTCATGTGACAAAGGAGGTACTTGTAATAATAAGATCACTAACAAGGAAGGTGAAATGATGTGGATCAAGGAATAACAGTTTTGGTGTAGATATAAATCTAAGCTCGCAGATGAGCTGAAAAATTATAAAATATCAATAATTGTACTGTTTAAATGTGAGACTCCTAGGAGCTGTGTATAAATAAACATTGGAGTTTTAAAAAATTATTCTTTGTGAAATATATTAAATATCATATTAAAAATTATTAAAGAAATATTTGTGGGTAAAAATGTGATGAAATAGAATTACAATTGTATTTTAGATTTAAATTTTAAAATTCGGCAAGTATTGGTGCACTCGGTGCCTGAAGTTCACACATTTGTCATGATAGGATTAATGCATACTTTTGTGGTTTAAATTTAAAGTGTGTATTTTTGATGGGCTGGAATGTCATTCTCAGGTTTTCATGTCTGTCTTAAAATGTATAACCAAAAAACATTATACCATCCACATTAGATGAGACATTTTTTTTCCATTACAGTCTTTTAAAAGTTAGCTTCATATGTCTTTCATAAGTGTTGGTGCATTACACAGACCAGCTTCACAGCTTTCAAAATACTTACGTTTTTAACATTTAATGTACATGGCATTATTCTTTCTGTTGAAATAACAGAATTAAAACTTAATGATACACAATGATACAGAATTTATAAAGTCCTTCCCAAGTATTGAAAGTAGTCTTAAGTCTACTTTCATTGTTTGGTTAGACCTGCCAAAAGTTAGCCCTAGGCATGTTGAACTGCCTATCACCTTCCAGTGCACCTAGATATTCATCTTATTTGTGACTATCAAGCATTCTTCATAGGTTGTATTACCCTTATCCTTCAACATATCTGTTGTTTGAGGAAATCCCAAACAAAATTTTTATTTTGTTGGAAACTCGTCATCTGTATCATTGTAATGCCACATGGTTGTTGTTCAATCCAGTTGACTGTCTGGTCTCTTCAGCACATCAACACAGTTTTTATTTAGAGACTTCAAGTTACTGCAGTACTAGTTACATTACTGCTGTGCATCACTTCTGGCTCTGCTACCATGCTGATGACCATTTTGTTGGCTACCAACACAGGAATAGTCTTTTGCAGGACTTCCTTGAACTGCAGAAGATCAGTCACTGAAATGTAGGGTAAAACTATTTAATTAATAGTATACTGTTATTAAAACACAAGGTTATGAATTAATAATTTGATCATATAAGCTACTAACTATGAAAGTGTTTTTGTTCTGCACTGTTGTATTTAATCATTTCTTAAGTAAAAGTACTAAATTTTTATATAATTTCAATTTTTTCAGGAAACAAAACAACAGCTGATTAAGTTGCTGCTGAAACAAAGCTTAGAAGCTGAAAATAGAAGTCAGAAACAACAGAAACAGGTTGGTGGTTTCTCATCTTTACACAAAATACATTAACACATTTTCCAGAAACATCCTATCCCAAATTTTCTTAGCAGCTTTCAAAATACTTAAGTTTCTAACATTTAATGTACATGACATTATTCTTTCTGGAGAAATAACAGAATTAAAACTTAATGATACACAATGAAAACTAAAATTTGTCAACTGCTTTTGAGTATTTTTTATTTATTCAACATGAGTTTTATATTTTGTATAGTTTTAGTATCACAGTAATAACAAACTGTAAAATAATTTTCATTAAAATCTTTTGGCCTGTTGTTAATCATAACTTTTGTAATTTTTTTCTAAGCAATGCAGAAAAAAAAATTGATACATTGAAACCTTGATATTAAGGGTGCTCTTCTGACTGTGTCCAAATGCCCTCTATAGCAAGGTACTCTTAATATCAAAAATGAGCCACGCAAAACTGGATTCCATATTCACTGTACTAGGTTTCTGAATTTTAAGGCCCCTTCCTCATTTTGTTTGGTGTATGCAGGACACCAGTGTTTATGAGTTACACATTGCTATGACATAGGAGCATTATCAATAGGAAGTTTCAGGGGGTGGATCAGTTGTGCCCTTTTTTCTTCATTATTGGTCACAAAGTTTCAAAATACTTCTTTTTATAGTTTGAACTGCTAAACATTTCACATTTATTTTCTGTGTTTAACTTTCTGTCAATGACTGATGTAGAAATCTGCTGTAAATAAAGCAACAAATCACCACTTATGTCATTAGACTCTTTAAGTGACACTGTAATGTGATACTCTCGAGAGAAACAAAGCACGCTTGAAGAAATAAGCCAACTTGACCCGGCTCTGAGAACACGATATGGCAACCAAGTTAGTGCAAGAAGAAGTTAGTGAAAGTGAAAGAAAAAAGTGAAGTTAGACTGTGTGATTGTACATTTAACCATAAAAAGCGTATAGCAGGGATTTCTAAAGTGAGTTTCATAGCTTTCATTGTAATAACAGAAATAGAGGAGAATATTTTATCTTGTCAAAGGGTGTTCTAATGTTATTGAACTCGCCTGTATGGACTTTGAAAAGAAAACAATAATTTAAAGATTTGGATACAAATGTGGTAACCAACAGTTATAGTGGTGATTTTAAAGTGAGTATCACAGCCCTGTATTGTAACAACAGATATAGAGAAGAATAATTTGTCTTGTGAATTGAGTTCTAAAGTAACTGAACAAATCTGTATGTACTTTTGACGTAAAAGAGAATTATTTAAAGCTCTAGATACAGCTTTGGTAAGTCATGGGGTAATGTAAGTGAATTTATTGCAGATTGTATTGTAATAACAGATTAGAGAAGAATAATTGGTCTTGTCAAATGGTGTTCCGAGATAATTGAACCCACCTTTTTGAACTTGACGAAAAGGAGACAATTATTTAAAGCTCTGGATACAACTGTCATAACCAACAGTGTAATGAATTTTTGTACATACGTGGGACTTGTTTTGAATATATTATTTTAAAACAAGTGGATTGTGTGCTGTCCATTTATTATTGAAATTTATACCAACAAGTCAAGGACACCTACTTGAAAAAATCCCCCCCCACACACACACATGCACGCACGGACTGATTAATTAACTATCAGACATGAAAGAAAAGAACATCTTCACAAACTTTAAAAATATCCCAACTTCAACATTTTCAGCGGCATAATTAATTTCCACGTGGCACTATTGTATTCTCCAGCAAACGGCATTAATGATGATTATTACCTTTAGACTATCGATTTTCAAATCTTAGAACTGATAAAACTTCTAAAGGCTTACCTGGACAGTGTTGTAAATGTCAATTCAGCCAATAAATTCATTTGAACAAACTGAAGGCTTGTAAACATAAATAAGCTTCAAGCTAATTCAAACAAAACTTAATGTGATTGGGAGAGTTAAACATAAGTTTAAGAACCAGTGAAAATAATTAAAGGATAACGGTTTAGAAATGAGACATTTATAGTTTGGATACCTAAAAATATGAATGAAATTAAAGTTTCAATATTTGTTCCTAAAACCCACCTGTTTGGAAAGGGTTAAGTTACTTTAAAATAGTTTATTAGGGTTAGCAATGGACAAGTATTTTTGCATCGAGTTATTGAATAATCTGATTTTTTTTAACACAAAACTAGTCAGTGAAGAAACGTGTATAAATATAGATATTATTAGTAATGTTGAATGAAAACTGTCATGATGTTAATATTTGATTCCTCATACCAATGGCCTAATAATTTAATTCTTATACTTGCTTTAATCTAGATATTGTGAAAAAATGTCACAGCATAATACACACATTATTAATTAACAAAATTAAAAACTAAACAAATTTCTTAAAAGAAGTATTAATTTGTTACTTTAAAAAATAAGCATGTGGCATATATGGTTGTCAATGTTCTATCCATCATTTTAAGTTAGCATTGCCTTTTTTAATATCCTATTGAATATAAGTAGTTTTGGAGTTGATGCCGTCAAATTATATTTGACTTGTGGTTTTGTGTATAGGACCTTTAGAAAGATTTTGGAATATTTGAATAACGTTTTGGGGTCACTTCATCAAATAAGACTGTTTTTGAAATAGAATATACAGAAATTAGCTTTGAAAATGTTGTGATAATTAACAGATTCAAGAGTTTATAGAAGACACCCTTTTTACTGGAAAACCTTTGATTGAAGAAAAAGTAAACCAACTTGATGGGTGGGTAGGAAAAGAAATGAATCTGTTTCAGTCTCTTACTCTACCTCGTCTTTTAACCATTTCTTTACAAAAGTAAGTTCTTTTGATTACATTAAGTGTAGGAAAGCATCTTGTTCTAGATATGTTTTTGTAAAAGCTTTTTTGGCATTTGTATAAATTTAACACTGTTGTTAAGCTTTAGGGAAATCTTATTAATAGTTAAGTCTTGAATATTATAATGATGATAATAATATATAAAAGTTAGGTTTTTCTTCTTACTTTAATTATATGGTATATAATTACCAGGAAAGATTTTATTGAAATGTTTCACTATTTGATGAATTACAACTGTATTTTCTTAACATTCTCACTAAAGGCATCCTTTTCTGTGAATGTTGAGGTTTTACTGAGCAACATTTGAAAGTCAATTAAACCTTTTTATCATGGTATACAAATGAACTTGGCATGAAAACATAACTAATAATCCAAGTTTTAATATTATATAAGTTTTAATTTCTCAATTTTATAGGGCAATATTTAAAAAAATCCTCAGTTTCCCCAAGTATGAGAATTGACATTTGCTCTCTAGGTATTTTCTGTATTCTAATTTATTTACTACTTTTCTGAGAAGTACAAAATTTAATGTAAATTACTCATTACAAAATTGTCATCACTTAGGCAAAGCATAATTTTTATAGTCTTCAGTCTTATTTGGTTACAAAGCCATAAAATAGAAAATTGGACCTATCTTGCCATGTCCACCTGTCACTTCATCTCTTTCCGAAATTGCCAATAGTTCTCTCTGATGTTTAATACTCTATTATGTATAATCAATAGAAAGCCAATGTTTTAATTTATCAAATGACTTATTATGTTACATTGTTTTTTGTACAGAGAATTGTCTGTTTCGCATACAGTTCAAAAATCCCATAGGAAGCACACTTAGATTAGCCGAATTTTTAATGGCTCTTATTGCATAGTTAGAAATCCAGAAAAATTGTGATAGTTATAGGATATTGTCTGCTTTTTTGTGTGGTATTATTCTATGTTCTTTGGTGCATTACTTAATTAATGCAGTCATACTATTAGTATTTAAAAAAAAAGGCAGGTTTAAGTTTTATTCACAGTTGACAGAAAAAAAAAAGACCCAGGTAAGGACTTTGTTTCATTTTTTCATGTGTATTCTTTATTCATTATTATAAAAGTAACTAAAGTGAATATATTGGCAAGAATGGGTGAGACAGGATTGCCCATACTTGAACCATCTATTTGAAGGAAATGTTCGTTGTTGAAAATGAAGTTGGTCTTAGTTGTTGTCAATTCAAAGAGAGAAGCAAAACGTGTGCTTGGGATGTGGATTAACTTGTTGGGGTCATTAATGTAGAGGTTGAGTGCGATACTGCAAGCTTCATTGATGTGGACTTTGGTGAAGAGTGACACGACATCAAAACTAGCCATTAAGGCTTCAGAATTTAGTTGATCTAGTATATATTTGAAACTGAAGGCAACTTTAAAAATGAACATGCAGATGTTACATATGGTGTGAGAGCCCAGGCTATGTATATGCCAAAACTGTAATTGAAGGAATCATATGTGGACAGTGTAGATCGTAGGGAGCAGTCATGTTTGTGTGGTTTAGGAATGCCATAGAGTTGTGGTGTGTGCGAATCAGTTTTACATAGATAAAAATAAAGATCGTCAGTAATTAAGATGGTTTAAGTATGGGCAGTCCTGTTTCACCCATTCTTGCCAATATATTCATGACCCAGATCGAAACACAAGCTATACATTTTGTGCTTCATCCCCCACTATACTGGTACAGATATGTCGATGACACTTTTGCTGGTTTCACTTCCACAGAACACACTTTCTTTGAACACACAAACTCCATTCATCCCAACATCAAATTTACCATAGAACAGGAAAACAATAAACAGTTATCTTTTCTTAACCTCGACATTATTAGATCGGACAGACAGTTTCAAACCAAAATTCGCCATAAGAACACGCACACTGGCCTCTACATCCCTTAGAATTTTGCTCATGACACCACACAAAAAATCAATACACTGAAAAACCTCATAAACACAGCCACAAGACTCTGCTCAATGGACTACATAGATGAAGAAATCAACCACATAAAGCATTCCTTCATTCACACCAATACATTTCCACCAGCTATTGTTGAAAAACTCTCCAACATTCACCACAACAAAACTCAACTCATGAATAAAATTGATACTAACAAACCCAACAACAGAACATTACACTGCAGTTTACCTTTTGTCCCTGAAACCAGCTCATGAATTATCCACACTTGGAGAAAACTA